AACTTTTTCCTGTAAGTCCCCATTAAGGAAGGCATTCTTTACATCCATTTGATATAAAGGCCAAGAGTAGTAGGCAACAAGGATATGGTCACACAAATAGAGTTCATTTGAGCAATTGGAGCAAAGGTTTCCAGATAATCAATGCCATAAGTCTAAGTGTACCCTTTGCCACAAGCCGAGCCTTGTACCTCTCAATTGAGTCATCTACCTTGTGCTTAATAGTGTAAACCCACTTATACCATATAAGAATCTTATCCTTGGGAGAAAGAATAATCTCCCAAGTTTGGTTCTTTATTAGGGCCTCTATCTCTTGGTCCATAGCTTCCTTCCAATGAGGGGATTGCATTTTCCTCTGTAGCATTGCGAGGGATGAAAACAAAAGAATGGCTAAAATATAGGCACAATAGGAGGGTGAGAGAGTATCATAAGATACATAGTTAGTAATAGGGTACTTGCTGCATGTCCTTTTCCCTTTTCGGATGGCAATAGGAAGATCAAGGTCAATATCAGTAACAAAATTACAAGGAGGTTCAAGATTACTCGAGTTTGGGAGATCAAATTGTGTTGGGCATTCAGCTTCAGGAGCCAACCTCTTATTGTGCATGATGAAAAATTGCTGCCAAGACCGAGGCCGATACATAGGAGGAGGAGGAGGAGAGGAAGGAATACCACCGTTACAAGGGAGATAGGGAGGAGGAATAGGGACAAGAACAGGAAGACAAAAGGGAGTCTGATCTTCACTTGCATTCTCCCCTTGAAGAGGACAAGATGACTAGAAAAAAGAGGACTCCAGAAAGGTAACATCCTTAAAAACATATCTCTTTCCAAAGAGAGTATCAAAGCATCTATAACCTTACTGGACTGGAGAGTAACCAAGGAAAACACATTTAATTGATTTAAGATCAAACTTATGTTGGGAAGATTCATATCATAAACAAAACAAACACAACCAAAGATCATGAGGGGTGGATTAAAGAGGGGTTCATCAGGGAAGAGAAGTTGATGAGGAGATTGAAGATTAAGGACCCTTGATGGAAGCCTGATAATGATATACATAGCTGTCTCAACAACATCACCGGGTGGGAACATGAGTTTGAAACAGTAAACCTCGAACAACTTTAACTACGTGCCTGTTCTTCCTTTCAACAACCCCATTTTGTTGTGAAGTATGACTGCATGAACTCTGGTGAATAATTCCCTGATCTTCAAGAAACCCACGCAAATGGTTTTCAAAGTATTCCTTGGCATTGTCAGATCTTATTATGTCAACCCTTTTCTCAAACTGTGTCTCTACCATATTCATGAGGTTTTGAACAATTATAGGAACCTCATTCCAACTTTTCATCAAGTAGAGCCATGTATTATGACTGTAGTCATCAATGAAAAAAATGAAGTTTTTATACCCACCCATGCAAGGGATAGCATGCAGGCCCCAAACATCAGTATGAATCAAATGGAAAGCAATATTATTTCTTTTATTACTCGCAAAATATGTGGTTCTACATTGTTTGGACAGATGACAAACTTCACATTCAGGGTTCAACTTTGACATTGAGTTCAACAAATTTGGAAACAAAAGTTTTTTTGTAGGAGAATTAGCTGACAACAAATTTTTATGTAATTGGGGTACATGAAGAACATATCCAAGAGAAGGGTTATGAGTGAACTTGACTTCACCCTGACCCGAGATAGGGGTCTGAAATCCATCAACAACAACGATCTTACCCTTCCCCGAGGTTAACTTATATGAAGTAAAATGTGAAGGCATACTTGTCATATGGGCACTAGCCCTAGAGTCTACAATCCATGGATTGAAAGTTGTGGAACAAGCAAGTGTAGTACCTGTCTTAGCATATGAACTAGGATGATCTACCACCCTTTTCCAATTGTAACAGGACACTTTGAAGACTAAACATCATTACCAACTGTAGCCAACTGAGCATTACCCTTCTTCCCAATTTTGAATTTTTTCAGTTTTAAATGAGGATTGATCTTCCAACACCTTTCCTTAGTATGTCTTGGTTTCTTGCAATAATCACAAATAACATCCTTAGCCTTCTCAATAACAGGATGCTTACTAGTATTTTGCTTGGGTTGAGATGACATAAAGGCATAGTGATCAATCACAAGAGGCTGCATCATGGTGGTCCTTCTACTCTCCTCCCCTTGTACAAGGGAGTAAGCAGAAGTAAGTGAGACAATGCCAACAATGAGAATATGTTGCCCAGTAAAGTCAAACTCTGGGTTCAAGCCAGCCAAGAAACCAGAGACTATTCTTTTCTATGTACTTTCGATATTGCTCACCATCTTTAGGGTCCTTTTGTACTAGAGCTTTCAAGTGATCCATTTCTTCCCAAATAGATTGTAGAGAAGAAAGATACATAGCCACAAATCTCTCCCCATGGCGCATACTGCAAGCCTCCCTTCAAAGCTGTTACACTCTAGTAGTATTGTTAACTTGGGAATAGGTTGCAACAACCCTGTCCCAAATATCTTTAGTAGTTGGAAGAAACATGTAGTTATGGGCAATATGAGGTTGCATTAAGCAAATCAACCATGACATTACAAGGGAGTTATCTTTCTCCCATTTTGCAAATTTCAGATCTTTGGGATTTGGCTTCACCTCCTTTCCTATAATGAATCCCAATTTACCTCTCCCTGTGATGGTAAGCTTAGAAGATTGGGACCACTCTAAAAAGTTGGTTCTATCAAGTATAATAGTGGTTATCATACCATTGGAAATATTTGCATTTCCCTAGAGCACATTGGAAACCATCTATACATCTTTAGATGCTTCCAGATTCCATCCAAACATTTTCTCATCAACCAAAAAGACCCTCAATACTCAACCAAAGCTAAGGACCCAAGAAAGTAGGTCACCACATGGTTAAGAAACACGAGGCCAAAAAACTAGGTTGATGGCAAAATAGGAGAAGAAAATCTCCCAAAATTGTATAGGGCTTAGAAAATTATGGGACCACTTCTCATCACTCCCAAAATGTAAAACAACCCAAATAGTCTAGGCTTTGCAGCAAAAAACCCCATTAAACATATTGTATAAGGTTCGAGATCAGATCTGGAATTTATGCCATTTTCTTCTTGAAAAATCCACAAAAAACTCATAGAAGCTTCAAACAGATACAAGAGCCATACCAAAAAACTTCTAAAATCAAGGCAAACCAAACCATGTAAGATTCATTGATTGCCACCGACTCCTATATGGATTGCTGACGTCAACAGGTCATCTCACGGGAGAAGATCAGTAGAAAAGATATTCCTTAGAGCCTCTACCTGCTCTGATACCAAGTTGCAGTTCTAGGGTTTGTAGAAAAAGAGAAGAGAGAAGAAGAAGTTGAAGAAGGATGTCTCGAAGAGAGGGGTGTGTGTGTGTGTGTTACTACCGTCACACCCTCAAAAATACTATTTATACTTTGAAGAAAAAAAATACAAGAAAGATGCTTGGATGCCCAAATACAAAAGGATGATGAAAATACAAAAATACCCTTGCCCGACCAAGCATTCTCAACATAGTTGGATATAGTCAGAGATCTTCTGATCACTCTCTTTTTGTTCATAGGAGACCTCAAGGTATTACTATCCTCTTATTATATGTTGATATGTTGCTAACTGGAAATTACGATGAAGGAATTAGTGAACTAAAATCCCTTCTTCGTAATTCCTTTTACATGAAGGACTTAGGTTCTCTCACTTCTTGGGTTTGGAGGTTTGACATAGTAATCAGAAGGCTCATTACTTCCTGATGCCATCTATATCGGTAGCTTGTGGGATCTTTTATTTATCTTACTATGACACAATGCAAATCAGGTAACTGATTCTAAGATTTTACAGAGCATTGGGCCCAGATTTTCGGTCCGAGCCCATTCAAATTTTGACAAAACCCCAACCCAAGCCCACCCAAGTTACACCCCTATCTTTCATGCAATTCAAGTTGTAAGTTAGTTTTTTTCTGCTCCTCATCAGCTTCACTTGACTACGGTTCATCGCATCATCTGTTATGTTCATGACACAATTACTCAGGGCCTCTTCTTCTCCTCTTCTTTAACCATTCAATTGAGAGCATATGCAGATGCTGACTAGGATGGTTGCCCAAATGTCTGTCGTTCTACTACTAGGTGGTGTGTGTTTACGGGTGATTCTCTTATCTCTTGGAAATGCAAGAAACAACAAACTGTCTCCAAGTCTTCCACTGAAGCAGAATATTGGGCAATGTCTTCTATGTGTAGTGAGATAGTCTGGCTACAATCACTATTTATGGAAATTGGTGTTCAAATTCCTACACCCACTCCTCTCCATGTTGATAATACTATTTCTATCAACATTTCTTCAAAGCCTGTATTTCATGAGAGGACTAAAGATACTGAGGTGGTCCGCATTTTATTAGAGACATGTTTCTTGCTGGGTCTATTTATCTTCCTCATGTTGCCTGCAACATGAAGATTGCTGACATCTTCATGAAGGCTATGACTAGATCCTGTCATCTCTTCCTTGTGGACAAACTGATGCTTATGTTTGTGCATCAGTTTGAGGGGGAGCGTGAAGAGACTTGACATATCCTATTAGGATAGCCCTTGTTGTATATTGTAGATATGTTTTATTTCGCTTTATTTTCTTCCAACCCTGTAAGGCCACTTTTATAATTGTACATAACATATAATCTTTAATATATTAGAAGCCTTTTGGGGGTGGGGTTGACCGATTCATTCAACACCCCTGAACCTGCATTCTCTTCTGCTTGAACTAGGGATTGACAATCAGTTGAACCCTCAGACTATGTAAATAAATGATAGTCATAACTTGTATATTTTACTACTCTTTAGAAAGAAAATTATTAAAGAAAAGTTCATTTATCAAAAAAAATATTAATGAAAAGTTCATGCCAACTTTCTGTTACTTGTAAAAGAATAAGAGAATAGATAACTTCGAAATTAGAACCTAAGCTTATTGCTTTGCTTTGACTAGTTAAATGGTTGTCAATGCAGATTATACTATGCATCTTCTGTGTTGCAAATTCCCTTTTAACTTTGATAAGGGCATTTTCGTTTGCATTTGGTGGTTTAAGAGCTGCAATCCGGGTGCATAATAAGCTTCTTAACAAGCTTATAAATGCTCCTGTATATTTCTTTGATCAGACACCAACGGGAAGAATACTCAACAGGTAAGGTTGAGATTATTTCTAGAAATTTTTCTAAACGATATTTCAATTCTATCAATTCCACATATGAGGCTTGTTTTTCAGGATGTCATCAGATCTTTATACCATTGATGATTCTCTTCCATTCATTCTCAACATTCTCTTAGCAAATTTTGTTGGCCTTCTGGGGATTGCCATAGTTTTATCTTATGTTCAGGTATACACAAATGTTTTTGCTATCATACATATCAGATTGGGTTTGTGGTTTTGAAATCCATTTTAATGGTTTCTACTGATTAAATATGATATTCATCCATATTGTTACAGGTCCTCTTCTTGTTTCTGTTATTGCCATTTTGGTATATATACAGCAAGTTACAGGTATTCAATTTAAATCTTAATATATAAGGATACAGTTATCAGTGGAGGACATAATTGTGTTGGTCATTACTCTGCATATGTTTTACCATATCATTTCATCATCATTCATCAGAATTTATGTTCTTACTGGAGGAGAAACAAAAGCTGATAGTTACAACTTTGTCTTGTCAGCATTCTACCGACAGCAAATCTGGATGTCTTTACAGCCAAGATTTGGTAAACCTATGGAAGTCCCCGTTTCAATAAATAAAAATAAGTGGAAGTCAGGGTGTATGTGTATTGAAGAAAATGGGAAATAAGGGGTTTGAAATTGATAAATGGAGCAGAATTGAATGGACAAAGGATGACAATGAAGGTAGGGATACTAGGTGAAGGCACACCTATAGAAGAAGGAAGTATATGATAAAGGCATGTGAAGGAGAGGAAGACAAGATACTCAAAGCCAAACAAGTAAATTGACCTAGTGAAAGTGGTGGAGAGGGAGGTTTAGATTAGTAAAGCTTTGAGACTTCTCTTCCATGAGAGGAAACTTTGAATAGTAGAGAAAGGTGACAACAAGAAGCTAGAGAGGAAGCACGGGGAGAGGTTTGGGAAGCTTTCATATTTGGGGCTGAAGAGTCTTGAGGGAATAGGAAGAAAGAGTGATGGGAAGAAGGGATTATTTTTGGGACCAATAGAGGGAAAGGGGTGGGATAGGGAAAAGGGTGAAGGTGAGGAGAGGGAGGGTGGGTAATACAGGATACAGAAGTCATGTTGGATTTTTTTTTCTTTTTATAATTTCACCTCCTGTCCAAGTGAGCATGATGATCTAACATGGATTTGTGACCTTAGGAACTTTTGAAGGATCTTGCAAGTAAGAAATATGGAAATGGAGAATAAATAGACATTCTAATGATTAAAGAATGCAGAATCCAGTAAATGGACATCGGTCCTAAAGATGAGTTACAAGGCCCAAAGGTTGGAGAATGGGTTGGGGTTCCAACTGATGGATGTTTATCTATTTGGAGTTGTGTGCATCCCACTTTTGGGCCTTTTCAAAATTAGTAGCCATGGTTTGTCTGGGTGTTTGTAGCAATAACCAAGTGGGTGATGGAACCATTAGAGCTAGCAATTTGCAATTCAGTGGTTCAGCTGCAGTACAATGATTGTTCCATGATGCTACCCATAATTTGATAGTAGGAGAAAATAAGAGGGCTTCTCCACTGTTTCTCTTTCTTCTCCAAAGAAAAGGAAATAAAGGAAAGGCCTATGTGCCATGGGGGAGGGGGGTTGAGGGAAGGGGACCTGTGCCAGACATTTAAGATTTTTGGTTGAGAATAACAAGAAAAAGAAAAATATGGGAAGGATGACCATCCCACTTCCTCGTTTTGTAAAATAGATAAAATAGTAAGGTTGTGGAAATGGTTCATGGGACCATGATGATGATGATAAATTCAACCAGATAGGAAGATTGTTGTTGACAGTCAATGGTTTTTGGAGGACAGGGAGTACTTTATTAAGCAAACTGTGTTGAAGACTAGATAATGCTGTATATATACAGCCATCTTTTTGCATAGAGAATTTATATTTTTTACACAAGTTGTTATGCCATGACATCAATTTTGTATATCATGTTCTTTTCTTTCTCAGTAAATTTTTTCATGGTCTTCATGAAAAAATAACTTTAGAAACAGAGGTTTTCTAATATCAACTTTTCAAAAAGGATTTACATATATCATTTCTAAAAACATGGAATTAGTTAATGAAACTTCATGTAATTTTTAGAAAAAGTACATTTGCATGTTTAATACTCAGAAAACATAGAAAAAAACTGTATATATCAAATAAGAGAAAATTAAGAGACTTGAATAATTATCTCTCTTTGTCTCCCTTCTAGTCTTTTAGACATCTCTTATTTATGTATGTCATTTTCTTTCCATTTTGACTTTTGTCTTTTTTGTTACTATATCTTTTGATTAGATTGAGAATCCTCTTTTGTAGTCTTGGAAGTCGGAAGTTCTTGTCAGGTAGACTGTCTCTGGAGAACTCTTTACACAACGTAGAATGGGTTGTGCATTCTCTTTTATTATTGTAGAGTCATCTGAATGTTAAACTTCATCTCTGCCAGATTTCCTTAGGAGGGGAGAGTGAAGCAGTCTTATCAGGGAAAAGCTAAGTAGCATCATCTACATATATAACCACCAACTTAGAGAGGGCCTCTGAAAGGGAACTGGACAGGTGGAAGGGTATCATCAGGAAAGTGGAAACCTTTTATTGTAGGGCCAGAGTGTCATCAAATATTTCTTCCACTCAGATAGCAAACACATGGAATAGGAATCCAATAACACCAAACTAGTGTAGGAGCAGAATGTCAGGGATTAAGAGTTTTGTGGAGAATGGACATGTGAAAACTGTTCAGGATGCTTTTAGCAATTTAGTTCAGACGGTAAGGTTTTAGGAGGAGCATGAAAAAGAAGAAGTGCACTCAAGGGTCAGCGGAGGGGAAGCATGGTGGGTGATGTAAATGAAGATATCCATCACTTGAATTTTAAAAACAAGAAAAGAAAACTAAGCAGAAGAAAATCCCAGCAAAGAAAAGCCTGAAACCTACAAACAGAACGTGTAGATCATCTAGGTAGTATCAAACTTCTAGTTGACTTTCATCCATCCATTTCCTATCAAACTGCTTAGTTAGAACTAGATGCCAGTTTTGTTATCCTAGATGTTCATGTTGCTTATATGGTGGGGAATGGGTTTTGTAGAATGGCATAGATAGTTTCTTAAGTCAAGAAAATTGATCAAACTCAATATTTTTTGGGAAAGTTTGTAAGTCCTCTTCAAATCCAACTATTGGATTTTTCTCAAAACCTCATTTGTAGCTTCAGTTTATCATCACAAAACATGTTCTCAAGCTTCATATAACTAGATAACTAGAAGCAGGGTATATAGAATCTGAGGAAGAGTATGGTTGGATTTTGATTGAAAAGTCAATAGAAGGTCTTAAATAGATTGGTTGTCCAGCCATATGGTATATTCCATTAACTTTGGAGTTATTTATGAGTGTTTATTAACTATTAAGTTTTTCTTAGTTTTTAATCTTACTTCTTTCATATGTGGCCCATGATAGGACCTAATGTTGTTATCTTCTACTATCTTGATTAGTCTCATTGTTGCAAGTAATGGTATGAGTGGAAAGTATTTAAAAAGGTTATAGAAAAAGATTTCAGCATTTATATGTAATGCTATCAGTAGTTTGTAGCAACATCAATATTGTTGTTACAATGTTAAAAAAAAAAAACATTTCCTTGAATATTTTTTCTTAGATTGGGATGCTTTAATAGGTTTGTCTCTATATAACTGGGTGGTCTTATGATTGTTATCTCTTTTCCTAGCTGTCAGAGTGGGGTGTTCCAAGGGTTGATGGGCTGTGGTCCTTGCCTTTTCTGAAATGAAGGCTGTCTTGTTCTCAGAAATGTGGAGGTACACCTAGGCTGGGGGTGGGATATTTTGTATTGTTCTTTTCTATATTAGTTAGAAGGGGCTTCTACCCATTGTTTATACCTTCCATTCTTTAATTTTTCTTTCATTTTCACCTCTTGTCTGAGTCCTACATATTATGATCTTCAATATAAATTACATTACTGCCAAAAGAAAAATTTGTAATAGTGAACAAAATTAAGAAAATTTTCATTATTTATTACCAATGATCAAAGAAAGGAAGACATATTATTTTATCTTACAATTGTACTGAAGGCCATGTAGTAAATTGACATTTCATTTTTTTTTTCAGTTCTACTATAGGTCAACATCACGTGAACTGCGCAGACTTGATAGTGTTTCTCGCTCCCCTATTTATGCATCCTTTTCTGAGACACTGGATGGATCATCAACTATAAGGGCATTCAAAACAGAGGTAATAGGATCTTCAAGATTCCATATGTGTAAAGAGGTTCTCTCACATTTCCCCAGAAATTTTTAATCTGAGATAGAAGATAAACTGGAGACATCTGGAAGTGGCTTCGCGTTATAAAGGTGTTATTAAACCTACCTGCTAAAATGATTCCTGACACATGTATGCAAATAATTATGTCATGGACAATTATAAATTATTAATTAACATGTAGTATTTTCTTAATCCTTCATGATTAATCAGTTGGGACTCCATCTAAGTGGTTTTCCAAGTGGTAGTTCCCTCACCCTGTATCACTGGCACTATGTCAGTTGACCTCCATTTGGTAACCTAGAGAGAGAGAGAGAGAGAGAAGGAAATTTTGATATTTTCTCAAGAAACCTTTTAGATAGGTGCTTTGGTTGGTTTATAAGAGTGTTTGGGATCTTAACTGAAGTTTATTATTTCCTTAGAAAACTATCTGAAAAATACAAGAAAGTTGTGTATAAAGTGCAAATGGGTGATTGGAAACCCCTAATAGCTTCTTTTGTTGATTTTCTTACACTTTCTGACACATCCTTATATTTTTCTTGGCAACCAAATGGAACTTTAGGGCATTAGGATATCCAAGAAATACAACATACATATATATAGTTGTATGTATATAGATACATACATGTAGATCACATTTATATTTAAATTCTGTGTGTATGTTAAGTTCATCTATTTACCAAATTTGGTGTGGTTCTTCATCCATCATATACTAGACATTTGAATTGGGAGACTGCAGTACTCGACAACTATGCTCCAATTCAACTGTGGTTCATCATATATCATTGCATGGAAGTCTTTTTTAACTTACAACAATTTCATAACACAGGGATAGATCTGACAGGGTTTTATCTCTATTACAGTTACAGTCTGGATTAAGCAGTCCCATTAAAGTCTAATTTGATGATTGTGTCTGTCCAACAAGTTCTATTTTTTGGGTGGATTACATGATAAGATTATCAATTCAGGGGAAAACATGTTTTTACATAAGGTCACCCAGCCAAGCATGTTTCTGTCTTATTGAATGAAGAATCCAAATCAATGAAACTAAACACCAACTTCTATTGTCTGTAGAGTTTAGAATTTACTATTTAATATCTTATTGCCCTTCTCTTCCACGTCTCTCATTCCTTAACTAGCATAAACAGCTTCAATGTATGGTTTCCAAAGAAACTGCTTGATTGAATCTGTATAATAGAAGAAATCATAATGCTTTATTTGTACAGGAATTTTTCTTGGATAGATTCACTCAGAATGTTGCGTTATATCAGCAAACATCCTACTCAGAACTAACAGCAAGTCTGTGGCTTTCTCTGCGTCTTCAAGTATGCATAATTTTTACTAATTACTTTTTAAATTCTCTTATCTCATGATTTCTTCTCAGGTAAAGGGCACAGAATTATTTCTTGTACTGATTTCATTAAATAAATATTAGAATTTGAGAACAATTCTCTTTAATATCATGTGCTTGGTGGTGGCATGAAAAATTGTCAATCTGCAGGTTATATTATACTGATCATTGATTATATATATTCAGTTGCTAGCAGCATTTGTTGTCACTTTTGTTGCAGTGATGGCTGTCATTGGATGTCGTGGTGGTTTCCCAATTAGTTTTGGTACACCTGGTCTGGTAAGCTTTTGACGAGCTCATCTATGTTCAGCCTATTAGTGTCAAGTCCCAATCCTCCTTTATGACATATTCCAGTTTTTTTTCTAAAATCGCCATAAAATCATTATTCATCTTGCTACAGGTAGGCTTAGCTCTCTCTTATGCAGCACCAATTGTATCTTTGCTGAGCAGTCTTTTAACAAGTTTTACTGAAACCGAGAAGGAAATGGTTTCAGTTGAAAGGGCTCTTCAGGTACAAAGAAAGGATTACATAATTAATATGCTTTTCTAATAATCTATGATGTGTTGACTTCATGCTTTTTCTAGTATATGGATGTTCCTGAAGAAGAACTTCTAGGCTGCCAATCTTTAGACCCAGATTGGCCCAATCAAGGACAGATTGAATTTCAACATGTTACTTTGAGATATATGCCATCTTTACCACCTGCTCTTCGTGATATTACATTTACTATTACAGGAGGAATGCAGGTCAGAACAGATACCAAGAATTTCATTTCTAAATAGTTGCATACCTTTGTATTTATTTTTTTCTTTCAACTGTTAGGTTTAATAGTAACTGGATGGATTGTTAATGCTTTATGAACCATTTTTTTATTGGGTAATATCAACCAGGTTGGAATTGTTGGAAGAACAGGTGCTGGAAAATCTAGCATCATAAATGCCCTTTTTCGCCTCACCCCAATATGTGGGGGTCGTATCTCTGTCGATGGGATCAATATTGCAGATGTTGCTATTAGAGATCTGCGTTCATGTTTTGCAGTTGTGCCACAGAACCCATTTTTATTTGAAGGATCACTAAGGTGCCCATTCGTTTCATGTAATAATTATTAATATTTTTCCTATTTAGCATAAGATTCTACTTGTTCTGGTGGCTAATTCTTTTGGAATGTAAATATCTGCATCCTAGTTTAGATATTTTATTTTGTGCATCCTCCAATTTTAATGGAATTTAAATCTCTTATCCTAGTTTAGTTACCTCATTTGATGAATCCAGTGTGTTTTTTTGATAACCAATTAATGAGTTTTTGTTTCTCTTGCAATTTTCTAGGGACAACCTAGATCCATATCAAGTGGCAAGTGACTCAAAAATTTGGAAGGCTCTAGAGAAGTGCCACATTAAGGAGGAAATAGAAGCATCAGGAGGACTGGGCATTCACGTAAAGGAAGCTGGATCATCTTTTTCTGTAGGACAACGACAGCTCCTATGCCTTGCCCGTGCACTTCTCAAGTCCTCTAAGGTATATCTACACTGATGGCCTAAAATTGGACTCATCCTTGATGTCATATCTTTGCATGAGTTGGTACAGAAACTCAGCTTACATTACTTTCTCTACATTTATATAGAAGCCACTTGTGTGATATCCTTTAGGCATGTTGTGTGTGTTCAGGGTGGAAGAAGCAATGGATCCAGTCATCTTGCTAGTGGGATGGTCATACTCATATTCATGTGCCTATTTCTTCATTTGCTCAATTTGGATAAATCTTGCATTATAAAAAGGCCATTACCTAATGTTGGTCCCCGATATCTGGGGTCTTGGGAGGGGTGAACTAGATAGGGGCCTAATATTTGCCTTTTTCTTCTTGTTTTGCACAAAGTGGCCATCATAATGACTCTTGCGTAAGAATTTCTTAAAATTCTAAGAGGATGCTTTGCTATTTTCTAATAGGGATTGAAGGAACATTTTGTTTTTATTCCTCAGTTTAGGTGCTGCAGAGAGTGTTCAGTTCTGTGCTTCTCTGTATGGCCTTTGGTATAGAATTACCAGCTTCTGAGTTTTCTGCATCTTTTTTTCCCTTCTGGAATCATTTGGTTCCCCTTTTATATACACTTCACTTTCATTTGTATATATTATATTCTTACCAATCAAAAAAAGAAGGTAATCTATATTATTAGAATTGCAATCAAGGTGTTTAGAACTTAGTTTCCAACATCATTTGATCAACCCAGTAGGTATTTAACTAAAACTTACGACTTTTATATTCCACAGAATTAAATGCTATTTATAGAAATTACTTAACAAAACAGAATTCCTTGCATTGAATTAGACGTACTTTAACATAAGCAGGGGACCTAATTTAATGTTGCACCATATGATATCCTTACTGGTAAAGCTAAATGGTTTACATCATGGATCCATCATTAGATGTCAAGAACTGTCTGAACAAGACATCATTATTGTTGATCAACTAAATTCAAGGAATCTTTTTTTTTGGGAAATTGTCCAAAACTCACCATGGCTTTTCAGCATCTCTTAAGCTCTCCATAACTTTTCATAACATTCAGGGAACCCCCATGTCAGTAACTTGACGTTAAATAGACAAATGGGTGTTGATGGATTACTATTTTACCCTTTATTATATTCGACCTATTTTTCAATATTCCAGACATACCCCTATTATTATTCAACCCAAAACCCATCTTTCAGCTTCCTTGGAATACTTTCAAGCACAACAATGAGAGCAAAACATCTCTCAACGAGTAGAAATCTTAAAGGCAGTTGTGTGCTTAAGGGCATTTTAGTCATAAAAATATTTTAATAAGGCTGACTCACCATTAAGGGGCAGTTTGGTCATGAAAATTGTATTTATGATGACATGGACAACTTCTGTCAATGTACACTAACGGTGCTCTAACGGATGGTGGGTTTTGGAAAACAAAAAACTTACTGACATGGGGTTCCCTGGACGTTTTGAAAAGTTATGGTGAGTTTAAGAGAAATGCTGAAAAGCTATGGTGAGTTTTAGACAATTTCCCTTTTTTTTCAGATGTTAGATTTTCTTCTATATTGATGCTAAAACACGCCATATTAAATCTTACAGGTACTATGTTTAGATGAATGCACTGCTAATGTTGACAGTCAAACAGCATCAATACTGCAGAATACCATTTCCAGTGAATGTAGGGGCATGACAGTGATTACAATTGCACATCGCATTTCCATGGTCTTGAACGTGGACAATATCCTGGTTCTTGAGCAAGGAAACCTGGTAAACTAATCAATAGGTTTCTTTTCTTTATTTTCCTTTCATACTTTTGCCATAAAAACTGTTTTGTTTTTTTCTTCCTAGTAACAAAGATTTCAATTATATCAGGGGAGTATGAGAATACCTCCAAGAGAAGTGTATATACAATAAATGAAAAAAAAAACAATATAATAGAAAAGAGAGGGTCAAATTTCAGATCTGAACAACCCATAATATTTTTTTATAGTAACAGCAATTATAATTACTAAACTAACCTTTCAAACAAGTTAAATAGAGAGTTGACCCAGATGCCCAATAGAGAAGGGCATGGATATCCTTAATACTAATTTTAACATTACCTTTGTCCCCTTTTTTTTGGTTGAAACATTACTTATATCATTGAACTCCTGCGGCCATTTACATCCTCCAACCAGGACCAATTAAAAATTGAGTAGCATTTCTGCCAACTTATAGTGGTCAGTGACCTTGTGCAAGTCATTAATCCCTGGCAGCACTCATATTGTATTTGTTTAGAATTCTTTTTTTACTTAACATTTTACTCCCCTTGTGTAGGTTGAACTAGGAAATCCTCAAGTTCTTCTACAAGATGAATACTCAAGATTTTCAGGTTTTGCTAGAGCTTCAACAATGTGATTGTCAGATAGCTTATATTAAATTAACTCCATCTGGAGATAAACTGTATGTTAGGTCTCCAATAAAGACTGGGTTGGTTATTCTTGTAATTTGCCTGCTTTGAGTTTCACATCCTGTCACCAAGCACATAATTGATTCCATGGTTTTGGCAGCAAATTATCCTGCAGAAGGAAATGGCTGTATGAAGATGATTGGCATTGTAACATTTAGTTTTACATGACAAATGAATGCAAGATTCTCTAACCCAGCAAGATATACTGTTCGTGTCTACTTTCATAGCCCTGTAATCCCTTCTCTTTGAACTTATAAATGGAAGGGGTGGTAAGAAGTTCCTTAGTGAAATCTGGGTAATAGAAAGTATCGATATGTAATTGCTGATAAAGGCCATATGTATCGATTTTTGGGTTGGGTGGCATCTTAAAGGGATTCTACCATTTTTTTGTAGTAAGAGAATTTTATTAAAACCAAGAAGGGTAAAGGCTAAAAGCCCAAAACAAAAAGGGGGATTAACGCATTAGAACCCACGCATTACAAAAATTAAAAATTTGGGTCATCTCAAAGTCTCTAAGGATCACAACCCACGAAGAGATGGTTCTTTGGATGACTCCAACCAAACACAGGACGCTAGAGCCTCCTTCCTATAGGCTGTGTTTGGTTTGATAGAAAATAAGAGAGAGAGAGAGAGAGAGTTGAGGGTTCAGAAGTTTCCTTGAAAACATTTCCTCAACTTTCTCTCTCTCTCTTATTTGCTTTCAAACCAAACATAGCCTTAAATCCTTTTATTTCCCTCCTTCCGAAGGCACCAAGAGATTGGGAGGGAAGTTGAATTCCACAAAATTTTCTTCTTACAGTCTCCAATAATGACCCATTCACGCCAAAACCACAACTTGTGGAAGTGCCACTAAACTAAAGAAGTTGCAGTAAATGAAGAGATGTTGAGCAGACTCCGAGGATGAGGCACAGAGCACCACAATCAATGTTCAGTGAACATTGATTTTGTCTAATATAAGCCGTCCACATAAAGAATCTAATTTTAGTGGGAATATCATGAGGGTACCATATCATGAGGGTACCACTATAGGATGAAAAAGAAACCAAGAATACTAATGCCAACTTTTTTTAGCTTCACTTGTAACCAAGTTTCAAAGTATCGATATGTATCGTGCTGGTGGCTTTCCGATATTGGGGTTCTGACCAGTTCAGGAGGTGGAGAAGCTTTAAATCGGCTCCCTTGAACCAGTTTTGAAAAAAATATAAAAAAAAAAAGCAAAAAAACACTATCAATATCACCCAGTACACCCCTATCGGCGTATCGGGCGTGTCGATATTTTGAACCTTGCTTGTAACAACTTTAAAAGGGTTCTATTGTTTCATTGAATATCAATAGATTGATATAAATCAGTACAAACTAATATGGACCAATACTCTAATATTGTACAAATTGGCTATGGGTATCACAAATCCATTTAGGTCCCATTTGGTGTTCCTTTTCGTCTGGGCTGTCGGTTTTCTAGAAGCCCGACAACCTGCGATTTTGTCTTTTCCCATTTGGTTGGAAAAAGATCTAGCCACCGACAGATGCAGCACCAAAAAAATGTGGGAAGTCCATTTCAGGCCATTTTCGAGAAGCTCCAAATGGAATTTTTTGCATTTTTTCAACTTGTCTTTGTGTGGAAAGATACACCTTAACCAAATGGTCTTCAAGCTGCTAAGATCTTAATGCAAAAATTCACACCGTCTTGTGGTTGTCAGGTCTACCAGAAAATCTTCTAAAAAAACCTTGCCAAATGGCACCTTAGTTTTCTTATAATTTAAAAACTTGTGGGTTTCTCCCCAAGCCCTGTGTAATTTTAGAGAGAAGGGAAAGAGAAGATGGTAATTCATACTTGAGTGGAAAGACCTGAAAATACAAAAAAAAACACTGAATTTCAGGAAGTTTCAAATGAAGCTTCCTAGTCTTTCCACAAAATCAATAACCTTTAAATGTGTTTTTAAAAGACTGATAGATTGAGCCATTTGTCAAATGGTCTTTTTCTTTAAAGACAAGACCCCAAAAGCTCAATACATCCTTTGGCCATCTAGGCTGTTGGAAGGTCTTTCTAAAAAGATTTGCCAAAGAACACCTTGATCTTCATGAACCAACACCCTTAAATCTCCGTTAAATAAAACTTACCTCTTTCTCTTTTCAAAAAAGCTTTATATTGGTTGTGTATTAGTTCCCTGACAAATTTTAATGGTGGATTAGTAGGGTGATGTGTAATTAATACACATTACACACAACCCTGTACTTCACGTCGCTGATTAGAAATGCTAAATCCACTGTTGCGAGTGGGATTAGAGATTATATAGACTACTGCCTTATTATATAGTGATGTTTTAGTAATTACACTCCACGTGAGCAGAAGTAGAAACAATGGTTAGAAACTGAGAACAGAATAGGGTTAAAAAATATGAATCCGACTTAACTTCAAGTTAAGGCCATGGCCAACCTAAGCACAACTCAACCTAAGTTGGATTTTGGATATTTGTTTAACCATAATCAGATTGAATGGAATTTAAAAACATGATTGAAAACAGATATTGCTTGATCTGATTTCATAGCATCCGATTCAATTATATATAGAGTTGCAGATAGGAGTCTCAAATCAGCTCACTCCCATTCTAACCGTTTGATTGGATGGAATCAGAACTAGAATCTGATTTCCATTTTCGGTGGAATGTTATTCCCCCACTTGAGAGAATGGTCATTCCCTCCCCACCCTTGGGAATGAGAATTACATTTCACCCGATCCCACTGCAAATCAAATGGACCCATAATTAGCTAATTAGCTAAGTATATCCATATGTGCATTGGCTGTCAAATCCTTCTTAAAATTTCAACTCAAAAGTTCTTTACGATTAATGGTTACTGTCAGTATTCTGCTTTGTGCTGTAATTTAACGTTGGCCACTATGATAGAAGTCAAGGCACAATGTTGTCTCAATCAATGAGTCCGTAGGTCTCCTTTTCATGAAGAAGGATCTCATATTTCAGTCTAGACGACTCTAATTGTTAGACAGTTTTGTATGCCCTTAGCTTCAATCATTTTGATGTACTTTTGTTGTTTAGTGGAAATAAATAAAGTGCATGTTTGATTCATGTTGTTTGGTTTAATTCTGTGTAAAACCCTAAAACTGGACATTTGTAGAGACTCATGTTAG